TGACTGGGGCACCTGACTTAGATGAAATTCATCAAGTGTTCCAGCCTCTTCTTTGACCGCCTGTAGGTACTTAATCATTGTCGGATGGGTGTCCTCATAGTCACCATTGAATTGGCTAACGATCAATTGAGAATCCGAGCAGGCGTCAACTTTTCTTGCCCCTGCCGCCTTACACATGCGTATACCGGCTAACAGGGCCACATACTCAGCTTCATTGTTTGAAGCTTGAAACTTGAACCGCAGTGCATATTCATACGTATCCCCTTCTGGAGATTTGCAAATTACGCCTGCACCACAGCCGTTCAAGGTAGAACTTCTGTCTACGAACAACTTCCAAACCTGATCGGTATTCTCCGGCCGCGCCGGCCTAGTCATTTCAACAATGAAGTCGGAAAAACACCTGACCTTTTACTACCCGCCTAGGTTCGAAAGTTATCTCCAGGCTTTGCATTTCAACAGCCCATTTAATTATTCTGCCGGATGACTCTATTGTAGTCATTGGACGCTTGAGTGGCTGATCAGCATAGACAATCACCGAATGAGCCAAGAAGTAGGGCATTAACTGCTTGACTGCTTTGTAAAGGGCTAGCTCAAATTTTTCGATCATTGGGTACCGGAGCTCAGCATTTCTGAGTATATGGCTGATGAAATACACCGGGAGCTGTTTGCCGTCTCTCTCAGCAAGGAGAACAACACTAAGGGAGTGATCTGAGACGGCTAGGTACATGTAGAGAACCTCCTTAGGCAGGGGACTCACTAGCCTTGGCAAAGAGTGCAAGTGTTGCTTCAACCTCTGAAATGCCGCCTCAACTTCTTCTCCCCATTCAAATCTAGACCTCTTCCTGATTACTTGGAAGAAGTAAAGGCATTTGTCACCTGACCGGCTGAGGAATCTTCCTAAGGTCGCCAGGCAACCGGTTAGTTTCTAGGCCTCCTTAACAGTGCGGGGTGACTTCATGTCAATCACCGCCTGTACTTTTTCCGGATTGGCCTCTATGCCTCTTTGATCAATCAGAAATCCGAGAAACTTCCCAGACTCAACACCAAAGACACACTTTTTGGGATTAAGCATGAGCTTGTGCCGCCTGAGGGTGGTGAAGGTTTCTCGGAGGTCGGCGAGGTGATCCGCCTGAAGCTTAGATTTGACTATCATGTCATCAATATACGCCTCTACATTCCTTCCAATTTGATTGATGAAAACCGTGTTAATCATTTGTTGGAAGGTAGCAGGCGCATTCTTCAACCCAAACGGCATCACCGTGTAGCAGTACAACCCCTGATCAGGGACGAATGTCGTCTTCTCCTGATCCTTCTTCCATAGGGGGATCTGATGGAAGCCTGAGTAGGCGTCCATGAAGCTCATCAAGGCATGGCTGGCTGTAGAGTCGATTAGGCTTTCGATCTTAGGAAGTGGGTAGCTATCCTTCGGATATGCCTTGTTCAGATCTGTGTAATCTACACACATCCGCCAGGTACCATTCGGCTTCTTAACAAGGACAACATTTGCTACCCAATCCAAGTAGTAGCATTGCCGAATGAACCCGACATCCAAGAGCTTTTTGACTTCGGCGGATTCCGCCTGAGACCTCTCCTCGCCATGATCCCTCTTCTTTTGTCTAACCGCCTTCATTTTGGGATCAACGGCTAGCTTGTGGACGGCTAGATCCGGGCTGACGCCTGGCATCTCCTCCACTTCAAAGGCGAATATGTCTTTGAACTCTCTCAGAAGTTGGGGCAGGTCCGCTCCCAACTTTTCAAAAGCAACCGTCCCAACTTTGACGGTTCTGTCAGGGCGGCTGTCGTCCAAGATGACATCAATGCTCTCACCAGCCGGCTGGGGTCGGGAGTCATCCGGACTTTCCCCGGCCAATGATTTCTATTTTATTTTCTGGCGGGGGCCAATTGGTCCGCCTTTCGCTTTTTGCCGGCTGCCTTGGGAGTAGGCGCGGCTTTCTTGTCATCGAGGTCAATGGGTTCCTCGTTATGACCGGCTGCCGTAGCCGTCGGCCTGACGTCTGAGAGGTAGCACTCCCTAGCTGTCTTTTGATCCCCGTTCAGGGCACCCACTGACCCGTCATCCCTCTAAAACTTAATCAGCATAAGAGATGGGATGATGACTGTCTTTGACTCATTGAGGGTGGGACGGCCCAGAATAAGGTTGTAGGCGGTCAAATCCTCGACCACCAAAAACTTGACAACCATGTGTCGCCCTTCCCCCTTGTCCCCTAGCCGGATGGGTAGGTCAATCCTCCCCACCGGATGCATTACCCCTCCCCCAAAGCCGACTAGGGGGTGAGGAGCCTTGTGCATACTTCTAGCTTGTACTTGAGCTTCGTCAAGCACTGGTAGCTGATCAGGTCAGACGAGCTCCTGGTATCAATTAAAATCCGGTCAACTCGTTGATTGGCAACTTTGCATTCGATGACAATGGGGTCATCATGGGGCTGCCTGACCATGCCCGGATCCTTCTCAGAGATGAAGACCTCAGGGAAGGTGTCTTTCGACGCCTGGCCCTCATCCTCTGGGTTGGACAGCTTTCGGATGTTATCCTTAGTACTCCGGATGGTAGGACCTCCGCTTGCGAAGCCGCCTGCTATGGTGAAGATGTGCTCTTCATCAGTTTCAGAGCTCGCAGCCGGCTTTTTGGACGGTTGACCACCGCTTGATTTGGGGTTGCCCTTGGACTTCACCAGGTAGGATTTCAAATCCCCCTCGTCAGCCAGACTGTCCAATAGCCGCCTGAGGCTATAGCAACCATTGGTGTCGCGGCCGACATCCTAATGGAACTGACAGTATTTGCTCTTATCTCTGTCCTTGATAGAGCTCTTCATTGCAGCCGGTTTCTCAATTGTCAACCGGTCTTTTATCTTCATGAGGATGGAGGAGCAGTCTTTGTTGAACTCGTACTTGGGGACGTACAGTTCCAACTTTCTTTGTTTCTTCTGGGACGGCTAACCAGTGCGGTCTGCTGCCCAGACTTCTTTTCTTTTCTTTTCTTCCTTTATGGCCGGCTGGGTAGGCCAGCTGTCTCTCTTTTCGAACCGCTTGGGTTCCGACGAGTGCTTGACGGCGCAGAGTTCCGTCGCCTGTATATAGGCCTTAGCCTCCATCAGTGCCTCCTGGAGGGTAGTTACCCTCTTGCGGACCAGGTCAAATTTGAAATTTGACCCATCCTTCAGACCCTTGTAGAAGTCTGTATATGCAACTTCGTCAGACAGCCCCTGAATCTGAATTCTCATCAGATTGAACCGCCTGACATAGGACCGAAGTCCCTCCTTGTCACCCTGTTGTATAGCCCCTAGGTCGAGACTTGTCTTTTTAGCAGGGATGTTCATGGAGAAGTTGGACGCAAACAGGTATGCAAGCGTCTTGAAATTATTGATGCACCCGGCCGGCAGGTTGTCAAACCATCATTAGGCTATGCCCTTCAACGTAACCGGGAAGCATCTGCACCAGGTGGCGTCATCCAACCCCTGTAGGTACATGAGGTTGGTGTATGCCATTAGGTGATCTTCCGGGTTGGTGGTGCCGTCGTAGGTACCAACCAACACATTTTTAACCTTGGCAGGCTGTGCCGCCTTGATTATTTCCTGGGAGAAAGCTGAAGGCTGTTCCCCAAGGTTTAGCAGCCGGTGCTGCCAGTCCATAGGCTGGACTTGATATGCCGCCTGACCCCCGAAGGGAGCCGACTGCATGAATGGAGATCCATACGGGGCGTATGGCTGTTGGGGCACATACGGAGCCTGTTGGATGACGTGAGTACCAGTACGTGCGGACACGCCGCGTGATTGACTCCCTTGTTGCGTCTCCGAATGCTTCATTGAAGCATTTTGGAAACTGTTTGGGTAGGTCGACGTGGAGGCCGACTGAGACATGCTCTGACTTCTCTTCTCCTGGATGAACATCCGGACGTCAGAGAAAGTCTTCTTTGACCCATCCGGCTGTGTATGCCGGATGGCCTTCCTTTGCCCTGATTCAGGGAAACAAAGTTTTGAGAGGTCGATTAGGGGCCCATCCGTCCCTTGGGCTTGGGGTGAGGAGTAGGCACCCGGTCTTTGATTTGCTTCTTCTTAGAGGACTTCTTTGTCGACTAACCCTTGCTTGGGCCAGTTGACTTCTTGATTATGTCCTTTATTTCCCCTTTGAAACTAGTCATGAATTTCATGAGCTCGTCTCTGGTGACGGGGGCAGCACCCTCCGCCGCCTGGGGTTGTCCAACAGGCTTGCCGCCTGGGTTGCTGGGACCAGCTTTGTCTTGACCCCGTTCCCTTGTTTCCTTGGAATGGGTGCGCCTGGAACGAAATGACCCGTCTAGGGCCATGTAGGTTTCGACTTCGTAGTCATCACCACTGCCACTTTCATGGTCCGTATGGACCTCAGGGTCAGTCGTAGGCCGGCTGCCCTCTGCATTCGGTACAGTGTCGGATGTCATCTTAGTAGTACTCTCCCCACAGACGGCGCCAAATGTTTCGGGTGTTTTTAGAGTCCCTCGGGAGAGTTACAATACTGAGTATGCGCGCCTGACTTCTGTACCTGCAAAACCACAAAACTCCGGTTGGGTGGAGTTCTGCCTTCGATGATCAAGTTAGTATGATTCCGAATGAGTAAACGTGCGGAAAGTAAGTAGGTATTTCTCACTGATTCAAAGAGATTCCGCAATTAATATTGCTCGGGATTCGTGTTTGTATTTGTGAATGTCCCATAAATGAGGTTGTTTCCTCTATTTATAGCAGGTGAGAACCTGCTCCCCTATTGGGGGTACAATGCCACGTGGCATCCTCTGATTGGATCCCTCTAGGCCTGTATGAGGGTGACACGTGTCGGTCCCTCATAAGGCCACGTGGCAGGGGTAATTTTTACCCCAAACATTAAGAATGCAGGACTAAAGCACGCGCAAATTTATGTAATTAGTGTTATATATTTTTTTTTCCATTTTAGCTCCAATATATATATCATATTCGCAAAAAATATGGTGTTAGATTTTGTATTAAAGACCATACTTTGCTAGGAAAAAGTAGGTGAAGAAGTTGATTTCAAATATCGTTCTTAGCTGCTCTTCTGCTACTTCTTCGATGCTCTTTGAATAATATTGCACTGCTGCATTATTAACTAAGACGTCAATGCGTCCAAAGCGGCTAACCACCTGATCCACCACGTACTTGGATTCCTCTTCACCTCGGCGAAACTCAGCCGGAATGGCAATGGGATCACCTGCATCATTTTCGTTGGCTGCTTTTCTTATCAAAGTTAAGGCATCATATGCATCTCTATCTTCCGGCCCTTTAACATATGTGAATGCCACGGTCGCACCCTCGAGTGCAAAATAGTAACAAACTGCTCTTCCTATCCCTGAATCACCTCCTGTTACTAATGCCACCTTTCCCTGCAATAACAATAATGTATTGTAATAACAATTTTTACTTCTATATTAGCACCAAGATATTTAAAAATCAATTACACTTCTTAAAGCAAACTTACGCATGAGAAAAATATACTATGTAATTATGTAGAATATTGTTAGAATTGAAACAATTGAAATCATCGAATGAGAAAGTGAAAAAATAGGTCTTTCTAAATTTTACTAAGTCAGTGGCAGAGCCAGGATTTTAATGTTGGTAAGACACCACCGGCCGACCACGTAGTAATCTACAACAAAATACTCCAATAAAACACATTCAAATAAAAAAAATTAATTGAACAACCAATAAGCAGAGATTACCATTAAAAAAGAAGAATCATTGATAAAGTAATCGTCGGTCATAGAGCAAATTATGAACTAGCTAACCATTATTAAAAAGAACCAATAGTGAGCATTAAATTGATAAATAACATTCCAATATGAGGAGAAATTTAAAGTCATCAACAGAATCATTACCCGATTTATATTGTTACAGTCAAGGAAGCTCACTACAACATGATTAATTAAAAGATACATATAAAACATAGGATGAGCAATTTAAGGTAGGCGGATACTATTGAAAATGGCAAAACGTACAATATTGTGTAATATAAAAGGCATAAAATAAATCTCAATACTCATCCGTACATGCAACTGAATTATATGATAAACTAATATTGAAAATACTAGACCCACTAGCAAATTAGAATAGTACGTTATGGCCCTATTACTCTATTAAATTATGCGTTAAAGGGAGTTGAGCTATGGTCTCTGTTATTCTAAAATGGAGGGAGTATCCAATAACCACATTATTATCGAGACTCGGCTATATAATCTGTATTATGTTTGAACCTCTAAAAAATTAAGAAAAGGATAGGGAAAAAAATTAAGAAAAAATAAAAAGCACCTTAGATAATCTCATAGCCTTTTTTGTGCGAGTGAAGATTCACATCGTTGCACTACCTGTATTTACTTTCATATATGTGCAAAACATTAGCTTGTACAGATTTCTAGACAATATTTATTTGTGAGTCTAAAATGGATATAGAAATATAGTGATGCATGTGATGAGGAGATAGATAGAAAAAATTGACAAGTTAAACAAGGAAAAAAAACATTTTGTTGTACATAATGTGTACAACTATTTTAAGTAAATACTACCTCCGTTTTTTTTTTAGTTGACACGTTTTGACTTTAGCACTATTCACACACTCTCCTTTGACTGTGTTTTGTGATTTATACGTAATGAAAAATAGTCATGGGGTCTTGTTAGATTTGTCACGGTATATATTTACAAAATATCACCTTTTTATAATTTTTGCGTATCGGTAATTAAAGATATTAACGTTTGGATTTGTGCATTTACAAACGTGATTAAAGAAACATGTCAACTAATAAGAAATGGATGAAGTATTACACATAATATGAAACGGAAGTAGAATAATACTTGTATATAATCCTACGTATCAGGGCTCATTAAACAAAATTTATTAAGAAATAAAACATGTAATATGTATGAAACGTAAGTCTTACATGAAGCTTTTTGGAAGGTATATAATGAGGATTGACAGAAATAGGGAGTGGATTCATCAAATATTGTTTCCCTGGTTGACTGTCCTGAGTTTGTGGTGGAAATTTCTGATCCTCGCTTGCCATTGCCTTGTTACAAAACACCACGAATATAAGCAAACAATAGAGAACCCTGTTTTTGTTTTGATGCATATTTTTTTTTTTTTTTTATATTGTTAGAAATATAAATATAGACACCAATTAAGATAGACCAAACCAAACACTAAGATAAATATATATAGGAACCAATTCGATCTCACCATTTTGTTTTTGGTTTATGTACTATGTAGTATATCATATCATAATTAATGCCTTTAGTGATAATTTTGATTTTGGGTTATATCATATATAGTTAATGCCTTTAATGCATGAAAACATTATGTGTTAACAAGTGTACTCGACTATACTATTGATTACTACGTATCTTGTTATCTATACTTTTCTTATCTATAACTATGAAATTTTGTAGGTGCATTTTAACGTTAGAGTCTTAGAGATACTATTATTTAGACAATGGCAGTTGTTGACCCTTAGTATCAAGATTGACAACTTATACATGCCATAAAGAAATTAAAGACTTTCTCGCGCGATATATAATAAATGTATACAAATTATATTAGAATTTCTCTCTATATCTCTCTCGATGCATTAAACTAATAATTAATTTAGTTTGTTGTATTAATATATGTCATATTGAGTTTTAATGTATACTCTATTCGTCTCTTTTTGTTTGTCTCATTTGACTTTTAATATCACCAAAACACATTTTAAAACGTAAATATCTCCAACATATTTTAAGATGACCTTGATTTTCAATTGAATTTTTATCGGTTAACATTAAGAATCTTTATACGATAAATCATAGCTAGGTTCATATCCCCTCACCTACAATCACTTGTAATTTATATTGCCCATATGGCTCATTTGTAACCAAAAAAAAATCGCCATTATTTAATAGCTTTCTTTAAAAGTCAGAAGCTCAAATAAAAACGAAGTATTATCAATTCTCTAAACCTTTTGGTTTGTATAGAAAAGTAAGGGTTAAGGAGAAGATTCAGAGAGAGAGAGAAATCAGGAAGTATTTCATTAACAGAATTGTAAACAATGAAAATGTACAGTGTAATAATGATAACTAAGCCTATTTATACAAGAGTTAGTTGTAACCAACTTTCTGACATAATAAAAGAATATTAAATAATTCTTATACTCCCCCTTCAAGCTGGACCTTGACTAATGAGTCCAAGCTTGGAACACAGTATACTATGTCTGTTGGAGGCTAGAGACTTAGTAAGAAGATCTGCTAGTTGCAGATCAGAAGAAACATGCTGAGTGCGCAGGAAATCTTCTTCAACTTGTTCTCTGACATAATGCATATCTCTTTTCAGATGTTTAGTTTTCTCATGAAACATAGGATTTTGTGCTAGATGTTCTGCTGAGGTATTATCACATAATAATGGAACAGGAAGGTTGACTTGCACCAATAAATCTTCAAGCAGACCATGAACCCATACTAGTTCACTAGCTGCAACTGACATACTCCTGTACTCTGCTTCTGCAGATGATTTGCTAATTGTTCTTTGCTTCTTAGTTTTCCAAGACACCAAATTGGAGCCAAGAAAAACTTTATAAGCACTCAAAGATCTGCTACTAAACTGAAATCCACCCCAATCTGCATCACTATATGCTGATAATTCAATTCCAGATTTAGCTGAATACCATAAACCACAGTCCATGGTTCCTTTTAGATATCTGAGAACATGTAAGGTAGCCCTGAGATGAGGAGCTCTAGGAGACTGCATAAACTGACTGAGATGTTGAACTGAGTATGACAAATCAAGCCTGGTTATGCCTAAGTACAGTAATCTGCCAACTAGTCTTCTGTACACATCAGGCTCTTGCAGTAAGTCACCACTTTCAGTAGAAAGTTTCAGGCCATAGATTAAAGGAACAGCAGCAGCAGAACAGTCTTCCATCCCAACATCAGTAATGATGTCTTTGATGTACTTTCTTTGAGAGAGGAAAGTACCTTCAAAGTTTCTAGTTATCTCAATTCCTAGAAAGTATTTCAAATCACCAAGATCCTTGATACTAAAGGCTTGATCCAGAGCCTTTTTGACACCATCAATCTGGTTAACAGAAGTTCCAGTAACCAGCATATCATCTACATACACCAAAATCACCAAAAATTCACCATCCATGTTTCTAGTGAATAGAGAATAATCTTGTTTGGACTGTATAAAACCCAAACTCTTCAAGAGTTTACTCAACTCTTTATTCCATTGTCTGGAAGCTTGCTTGAGTCCATATATGGACTTTTTCAATCTACAAACCTGCCCTGCTTTTGCCTTATTATATCCAGCAGGAGGCAGCATGTATACTTCCTCATCCAAATACCCATGCAAGAAGGCATTGTTAACATCAAGTTGGCATAAAGGCCAATTATTAGCAGTAACAATAGCAATCACAATTCTCACAGTAGCAAGCCTAGCAACAGGTGAGAAAGTATGAGTGTAGTCTTGCCCTTCAATTTGCTGGTATCCAATAGCTATAACTCTTCCTTTATATCTCTCAATAAATTCATCTGGGTTTAGTTTTGTCTTGTAAACCCATTTGGAACCTATTGCTTTCTTCCCTTTAGGTAAGTAAGTCAATTCCCAGGTATCATTGTCTTCTAGAGCCTTCAACTCTTTGTCCATAGCTTCAACCCAATTTGGATTATCTTTGGCTTGAATGTAATGTCTAGGTTTAACCACTTAACAAGAATTTACAGCAAAGGACTGAGATTGCGACTCTTGTGTAGCGTTTTTGTGGGGAAGATATGTGGTAACAAAATCTGAAGTTTAGTTGATGGTTTTACAGGTCTAGATGAAGTTTTGGGAATATGAACAACATTTTGGTTATTTCAGTAAAAGAATTTTCTGACTGTGAACTAGACTCAGGAAAGTTTACAAAATTATGATTGTACTCAGTCATATGAGAAGAAGAACCAGAAGCAAAATCGGCAAATTTCCCAAAGTAAGTCTCTAAGGGAAACAATTTCCCAAAGTAGACGCGTGGCAAAACTATTTACCAAACTAAGCTTCCAGGGTAAAATGCCAACCAGGCGTTTTTATCCTGGGCATTTATTTTTTTTAATTTTCAGTCAAGGCAAAAATGCCATCCAAGGTGGGGTTTTTACCCTGACTGAATTATTTTTTAAAAAAAATTAGCCAAGGTAAAAAGCACCTGGTTGGCGTTTTTATCTGCAACACTCAGCCTGGCCTGCACACAAACACAACAACAACAACAACAACAACAACCACAACAACAGCAGCAACAGCGACAACCACAACAACAGCAGCAACAGCGACAACCACAACAACAGCAGCAACAGCGACAACCACAACAACAGCAACAATAGCAACAACAACAACAGCAACAACCGTAACAACAGCTACAACCACAACAACAGCAACCACAACAATAACTGCAACAACCACAACAACAACCAGAACAATAACAACATCAGCAACAACAACAACAGCAACACCCAGTACAATGAAAAGAATGTATGCGTATGGTGAAGTTGATAATGTACAGAAAATCAATTAAAAAGGTCAATAAAATTGATAATATTTGTTTGGATACAATGTACTAGAGAATTCGATTACAACAAACTAACAAAAGAAGTTCTAAGATCCTGATTCATCTATTCTATGTAATCGTTGTCTATCAACTCGCGGTCTCCTACGACGATAGTACTGAGATACCGTTGTGAAAGGATCTGGGGTAGAAGTCTGGGGAGGAGTCTGTTGGCCGGAAGATGGTCCTTCCTGTGCTGAGTATTGCGCAGACATGGGTATGGCGATATCCTCCTGATCGTCCAAAAACTGCGGGGACGCTGTAGGGGACGTGTGAGTCTGTCCCCTACTACTGTCGCCTACCTCACGGTGTGAACGGCGGTGTGATTGGTCCCAGCCCTGGATAAGATGGCCATGACCATGTCTCTGTAAGCTACTCACAGTCATTGCCTGAATTTCATCCAACTGCAGTATGGTGGGATATGATATGCTCAGGACTTTCGGTGCATCATGTATAGCAAGCATATTAAACGCTTGCATTAGTCAACAATTAGCCAATTTAATAATACAAGAAATTATAAATTGGAAAAAAAAAAAAATTGACACCAAAAACTCACATATCCACTAATGTCTCCAAAAGCTAGCTGGTAATGCATTGAGGGTGGGGTGTAGTTAGGGTTGATGAAGCGTCGGGTAATGTTCCTGTACCATACCATGTATGGATCGTGATACTCCATCAGGCCTTGGAAAGGCGCACCATCCGCGATGTGCTGCAACCGCTAGTCCCACATGGCAATGAAAGAGGCATGCTGAACTGCCCGGTTCACGTCCCCCTTTCCTCATCGATCTGTCTTGTGTAACTGGACACTCATGTCACACTAGGCGGGGACGGCCTGACAAAGGTTGAACTGTCACATGACTCTATTAGGAAGGTGAGCCTCCACTACCTCAAAACAGATGAGGACTGTCATGGCACGCCACTCCAACTGATGATCATGAAGATATGGGGGCATGGCATCGACTAGGTAAGGGACGTACAGATCCCACGTCATCTACATTAACACGCCGTCGTTAACATCATAATTAACTTATTGAAACAATGAACGGGGTGTTCAATTAGTTTTTACAGTGAACTATCTTAGTCTGTCGAATGCGTCTCTGTAATATGGTAGACCCCTCGCTGCATGCACACGAGTGGAAAACTTAACAATAAGTCATACATACATACATACCGGCAACCGTATGCCAAGTCTGTGGAGGGAGTGGCGGCGCCTCATATGCATGCTCCTGATCGTCTTCCTCCTCCTGTCGTCGACGGCTAGCAGGCCTAGCTAGCCTACCAACGTGGATGTGCTCCCAAGCCCATAACTGTAATAAAAAACACAAGTTAAGTCTAGCCACCATTAAGTACGTAATAGGTAGAAAATGGTATGAAAGTAAAGGGCTACCTGAAGCACAATCAAGGGACCGCCGATCTCCCATCTATCTCGCTGGGATGCTCTGCAAAGATGCCGATACAAGGTTGCCAGACAGGCACTACCCCAGCTGTAATCACGTATACCCTCCTAGTTGTTCTCTAACAGCTGTAGGTAGATTAACTGTATGTGACTACCACTCTTGTTACTAAATAACAATCCTATCAACATGAACAGGTACACTCGAGCGTATCTTTAGAGGACCCCAT